CGCGGCGGCAGGTGGCGCGGCAACCGGCGCGGCGCTCGGCGGATGGGTCGATAAAAAGGTCGCAGGCTCCGACTGGGCGCAGCAGAACCTCGGACCCAAGGGCGCGGAGCTGGCGGGGTACGGGACTGGCGTGTTGGCAGGCGCCGCGGCGGGCGCCGCGGTCGGAGCGCTGGTCGGGAGTGTGCTGCCCGTCGTGGGCACGGCGGCGGGGGCGGTGATTGGGGGTGCGGCGGGGGCGTTGGGCGCCGAGGCAAAGATTTTGATGAGCAAGTACTGGAATTGAGTCAATAGATGGATGTCGTATAATGTAGCGTGAATATTTGGATGGAGGGACGGTGGGCAAGTTTTATGATGGCCAGTCCACTTCTTTTTTCCCTCTGGCTGGCGAGGAGGGGTGGTGGGAGCATATTTGTGAATACCTGTGAATCATTGTGAATATCTGTACATACCTGTGGATATCTGTGAAAGTCTATAAATATTTATGAATACCTGTGAACAACCTCCTGAATAGGCCACAAGGAACTATAAAGTGTGTATCAGCATACAAGTTGCAATGGACACAGAGGAATGGACGAGAGATGCATGGACGGGATATGATCATACTGTGGACAGCAAAAGATACATTGCAAGTCAGGGAAGCGGCAGGGAAACACATTGTATATATTGCTAGTCGCTAATCATATGCAGCCGCGTGTCCAGACCTCGTCGCACAGCAGTCCGTCTCGTACAATCAGGATGCCAAACAATCAGGGGTATCAAACGAACTCTGTGTTCCATACAACGCACAGGAGAATAGCCCAAGTATTCCTAGATCTAACCGCATGGTGGCATCTTTGGACATTCTGTACCTGCATCCACCCTGTTCACTCCTGCAAATTTCCTCCCTGCCGGAGATATTCCCTCAACGCCGAGAACCGTTTCCAGTCATCACTCATAGCCGTCCGAGGTCTTGTTCCAGACATCAACACTCTGGTGGCATTTCCGTACTGGTCTCTATCGGTGGCGATTCGGTCACCTTCATCTTGCCCCGTCGACGCGGCGGCGGTGCCTTGGGCGGTACCTTTTTCGCCTCGCCGTTGGTGGGCGGTCTGTTCGCCACGTCGATGAAAGGAACACCGTGTCGGTGCCTGGGGACCGCCGGCAGGGGCTTCTTGGCCCTTCCCGTTTGGCTCTCTTCGTCTTCCGGCGCGCCGGGTTCCTCCTGCGCCCGCTCTCCGTTGCCGGCGTTGCGACTCGGCGTCTGCACGCCCGGCTTCTCCATGACGCCAGCGACATCGCCAACACTAATACTGCTTGCGTACTGAGTCGGAGAAAGGCTGATGCCTAGGAACTTGCGAGCCACCTCGGAGACGCCATCTTTATGGCCTGCCTCGAGCCACGGGACTTTGGCCACGCGGTTCACCAGCCGGACCGTGGTGTCATCGGCTGGCGCAAAATGCGCATTGAGAGACCCGCGAAGAATTCTCAACACCTTGAGTATCTCTTCCTGTTTGTAGTGAGGCGGGTGACTAAGCTGTGTATGTGCCAAGAGCGGGTATAATACTCTCAGATACGTGTGTCGGAGAGATATTCTCTCATCCGGTAGGTCCATAAGGTTTCGTATAATTACATCCAATAGAACTCGCAAATCGTTTGTGTAGAAGTATTCGTAAGTTGCTTTGGTTGTGAAGAGCAGGTATAACAGCTTCAGGATGAGCAGCTGGAGGGATGTTTCGGTTTCTCGATTCAGCAACAAGATGATATTCTCCCCAAATGTTCGAAATGACGGGCCGTGCAGGCCCAGGCATTTCACAATTCGGTTGGTCAACGGCACCGGCGCCCCTTCTGGACCTTCAACAGGCTCTGTAGACGCAAGCATATACTGCTCATTCATCACAAGCTGTACAATGTTAATGTGAGTTTGCGGCGAGAACGGAAATACTCACCAGGACTCGAATGGTAGGGTAATGATACGGATCATATACATCATCAGACACTCCTTCAATGATACGAAAGAGGCTGTGTATGAAGTCGTCATCAACCAAGACCAGCTGTTCTGGCCGAAGCCTCTCCACACGCGACATCTCGTACATAAGCTGCAGCAAAAACCGATGCAGGCGCGCATCTTCGTCATTTCGCCTCGCCGCGATCAGCTCTACCAGCCGCGGGAAACAAGCCTCCGCAATCATGCGTGGAAAAATGGCCTCGTCATAGTGGCCGTCGAGAAGCAGCAGCGACGTTATGGCATGCAAAGGCGCGGCATCGTCTTCTTGGAGAAGGCTGTGGATGAGCTGGGTGCGGACGTAATCCTTGTTATGCTGGAAGAGCGGACTGTTGATTAGCATCTGCGCGCAGATTATTGAGTCCTCCTGGCTTTCGCGGAGCCGATTGCGGAGCTGCGCTGCTAGTTCTAGCCACGTTCGCAGGGCGTCGTCGATGGATTCGTGGTCGTCGCATGGGCTCGATACGCACGTGTCGATATCTGGAAGCAAACATCAAGTCAGAAATCAGTACGCCAGTCATAGCCAAGTGTGCTGAATGCATACCTGTCCACAGCTGTTCCTCCTCCTCCGCAGAGAATGCGGTCCCCTCAACGTCAGCCATTGCCATCATGTCCAAGTGGACGCCCGTGTCAACACCATCGAGTATCGCAGAGGCTCGTGCAATTTATATGGGCAGAACAACACGGAATTTATAAACAATAGAAATAAACGTGTGCAGTAGACAGATAAGCAATTAGTCTGGATACGCCAAGCTGTCGAAAAGCCATTGAGGTGTAACGTCGAGAAAGTAGGAGGTGCTTGCCAATGTGGGGTAGTCGCTTGCGCTGTGACCTCATCCAGATTGGACGTGGATTATTACTCCAGAAATACACTGTGAAGTGACGGGACCATGTCCATGTGCGTCTCACCCTACCATCGAGTCAAGCTGCAGTTTCATACATGTGCATCTTTTCAATTCAGATGTCTGTGGATATATTGTGTCATGAACCGGAATTCACCGGCCCTGATTACGAACCTGCACCAAAACGCCAAGATGGACTGACCCGACCCTATTGCTACCTATCGGCCACCCTTTGGCTCCTCACCCTCCTCATAAATCTTCACCTTGTCTGCGTATTGGACAATGTCGCTGACAATATAGTCCGATATAGTTTCCCCCCTCCCAGCGGCAATTCTCAGAATCAGCTCGTTGAGGTTTTGGCGGCCGAGAATGTCGACATGATCTGCCGTCTTCGGACCTCCTCGAGGATTAAACCTCTCAGGCTCGTGCGGCATTTCAACGACAGTGATACGCGAGCCAGCTGGGTTGAAACGCTTCAGGTGCCACCCACGGTTGCACATGTACCCAGTACTTAGCAAATTTACGGTGCCGTCGCCCTCTCCCATAACTACACCGTGGTCGACCGGCCCCCCTGTAAAATCCGTATCGATGGTAATGTTCAGTAGAGTTTCTAACTGATCGGGAACGCGATAGTAGTATCCTCGTTCAGTAGGTTTTCCGACTCCATAGAAGCAAAAGATTTTGAGGCTTGGAGCTTTAGGAAGCCGTGATGCGAGCGGGTTATGCCACATCTTTGGGTTGGCTTGATTTTTTTCGACCTCAGCCGCGGTACGTGCGATGCCGCGAGAATAGCTCTTTGATATCTTTTCTTCATACCAATCCTCGGTGACCCTCATTAGATAGTCGATGGCGTCATCAACCGTCATGTTTTGCAGGGAAGCAGTGCTGTTGGAGGTTGGGCGGAAGTTGATGAAGGAGCCATAGGATATGTTTTGGCCAGGGAGGTCATCCGGTGCCCATCCCCGATTACCCCAGACGGCGTCGCCGCCGATCGGAAGCATGGAGGAGATGCCGGGCATGGCGCGGAAGATTTCGGCTCTCTCTGCCTTGCTCAAAAACTTCTCCAAGCCGTAAATGGCAAAGGCGTTGAGCTGTGCCGTATCGCGCATTTCGCCAGACAGAACCGCCGTCAGATCCTTGACAGCGCCGAGCATGCAACCACTAATGTTGATCCATGAATCCACGTGCTTCTCAACCCAGTCGCTGCCTCCGTGGCCACCATTCTCAGATTCCACCCAGTTGAAAAAGTAAAACATGACCTGGCTGCCCATGCTGTGGGAAGCTAGGACAACCTTCCTCCCATCTGTAGCCAAGGCGCCTTCAATATGAGACTTGAGGCGGGAAAAGTAGCGGTCTCGAACCTCGAGATCAGGGTACGACAGGCGCCAGTCGTACGCAGCGGTGAAGGAGTTGGTCGGGTCATATCCGATGGTGGCGAGATTCTCAAAAATCTTGTTCCAGATCCAGTAGCCGGTAATGAAGAAGTCGGTGGCATCAAAGCCTTGGGCCGCACGCAGCTTCATCATGGGTGGGTCGAGACCAGTGTGTTTGTCCAGCATGACATGTCTCTTCCAATTCTCCTTGTCCATGACCAAGGCGCGCATCATCGTCCAGCTGCCCCAGAGTCGTTTGCGAAAGTAGCTTCGCGAGACATTGGCGGTGCCCCACGACTCCAGGCCGGTCGAGATGACGCCGGGGATCATGACCATGGGGTGGTCTGCGTGCAGGCCTTCGGCGCGCGCCTTGAGGCCGACATAAAATGAGTCGTAGGCCTGCGCAATGTCCCGCTCGCCCTGCATGAGGTCCTTGACATCGCTAATCAGGCCCGCCGGGAGGATGTCGACAAAGGAGTCCAGGCTGAGGTCGCCCAGCAGCTCGGGAAACTCAATCAAGTCGTTACTCGAGGCGAAGAAGCCCGCTGCGACTAGGCCGCACAGGCTGCCGAGCAAGAAGATGAAGGTATTGCGGCGCTTCCGCGTCTTGGGCTTTGTTACAATCTGCACCACTTGCAGGTCGGTCGGCTCGTCGACTTTGGCGACGGAATCATGTTTGTCGGTGGGTTTGGTAGGATGCGGCTGCGATTCGGGGATGTTGCGGCGTCGAACGTGGGAGGCCATTGTTGTGTGTCACAAAAGCCCTGCCGCGGTGGATGCGCGACGACGCCAGGGCCGACGTGGCTGGGTTTTGGAGGTTATTTTCGCTGGGGCAGAATGGTCAATTTGGGGGACAGTCAACTGGTGGAAGATGCAGCAGACTAAACCCCGAGGCCAGCTGCAGAGTATATTGAAAATTCAAGCTGCTGAGCGAAGAGAAGAGCGACTCGGATTCCACGGCACGGCAAGCATGTGAGAGCCAGACCGGGGTGCAGCTGGTTGACGTCAGGGAGCCCGGGGTTCCAGAGATGTCGCCTGCCTGATGATCCGGAGTGAGTCCGACACGAAAGCCACGCGAGATGTGCTGGCAGGGGGACACCCCCTTCTTAGCACATGTTTGCATTTTCGGGATTTCCACTCCTTGGTACCCGTACAGATGAGACAGGGAAAACGGCTCACCTCGTTTCTTACCTTTCTCTCTTGGTTCTGTGTCATTCAAATGTTTTTTCTTGCCTACGATCGATCCTCAGCTGACTTGGTCACCGCCGAGGCGTCTTCCATGCTGCATCCATTATTCGTACAGTGCTGTGCCACACCAGCCAGGGTTCTGCATCTCCGGCTACATCAACCCGACAATAAATAACTGCTTTTTTGGGCACCATCTCTTGTAAATGCAGCCCACACATGGAATCTCGAAGCCTTGCGCCCGCCAAGGCCCCGATTCAGGCGGCGAGTGCCCGTACCCGGCACTAATACCTACCTACCTAGGTAGGTAGGTATGTACCTACCTCCTAATATATACCTGGTACCTAGTGCCAGAACGCCTCGCAGCTAGGCAGCAAACAACTGAGTCACCAGCTGGCCGGCTTTGAGGGCATACCAAATTCTTGGATTGCCCAGAATATTATCGATATAAAGCTCGCTCCTTTACTCCGTAGAGATTCCGGCATTTTCTCCCTCTACAGTTTCTTTCGCAGTCCATAGTACCTTGTCAGCCGCTTCCCCTCAGTGTCAAACCTTGGTTGTGCCCCGCCAATGCAGCCCCGCCGAGTCCGGAATCTCACCACCTTGTTCCAACGCCACCAACCTTGCTATCTCCGGCTCTTCGTTTCACTTCTCACAATTCGTCATTCCTCAAATCACCTCCTCATCTCGTACTCATCTATAATGGACGTGGTGTCTTCCAAAACGCTTCCCATCGAACTCAGCTACGTCCAATATGAGCATAAATTCGAGGCTCAATACCTTCCTGCTATCCGCTCTCTCATCTCCAAGGACCTCAGCGAGCCTTACAGTATCTATGTGTACCGATACTTTCTTTGTCAGTGGGCGCACCTGTGCTTCATGGTATGCATCATGCGTCCCTTTTCTCCCGAAACATTGCTGAACCTCGCTGACCCAATAAAAGGCACTCAACCTCCAAGACGGCTCTCTAATTGGCGTCATCATTTGCAAACTTGAAGTTCACGCTTGTCACTCAACCCCTACGCGGCGTGGCTACATTGCGATGCTTGCGGTAACGTCTCCGTACCGAGGACATGGCGTAGCTACGTCCCTTGTCAAACGTGCCATCGATGCAATGGTCAAACGCAACGCGGATGAAATTGTACTGGAAACCGAGGAGACAAATGTGCCAGCCATGCGACTCTACGAGCAGCTTGGCTTTCTTCGGTCAAAAAAGCTTCATCGCTACTACCTCAATGGAAACAGCGCTTACCGGCTGGTGCTACCTCTGAGAACCGTCGACCCGGACGAGACACTCATCGGGGATTTCTAGGAGGAAATTATCCGGTTCATCATTAGCGGCCTTGTATTACTCGAATCCTACCTGTCAACTTTAGCGTTTTTTTGAGCATTGGATACATCAGGCAAATATTCATCGCGGAATACGTGGTTGGCGTTGGAGTCTGCGACTTTGCAATTTGTTTTCTTGGTTTCTTGACTTCTTGTTTTCTTTTCGTATCACATCGTTGAAATGACATTTTTGAAATAACCAAACACATTCATAGGGAGAACTCCGAACCTTAGAGCGCCATCGCAACATCTTGTCCTGACGGAAATGCTTCCGAGGAGTTGTAGATGGACGCCTTTAAACCCCATGTGTTTCCGCCCGATATCCCTAAATACGTAAAGACGTCTGTCAAATCAGTACGGTTAGCAGTGTATGATGGTATCATCACTCACCGGGCTTGTAGTAAATCCTTCGCGACTTGTTATCTGCCAACCCAAGCTCTTTCAACCTTTGCACAACACGTCCAACGTCGACCTTGTCCATAAAGTCCTTTGTATACACACAAATGAGACGCTCTTTTCGCAAATCACCCTGCTCCGGTCGCGGAGCAACTTTTGACGCAATTCCAAGCTCATTACTTGCTGTCGCTTTAGCAACAATGTCCCAAACCCCATTCACCTCCAAAACATCACAAAAGAGCATCCACTGCCAGTGCCAAAGTCAGCAGATACTTTGTAGTGACATAGGGCAGCCTCACCTTTCCTGCACGGACTTTTCCAACGTGGGCAAGATGCAAAATGTTCAGTGTAGCCTGCGCCCGCTCTTTGTTCTTCTCACTCTCTGTGGTGGATGGTGGTTTACCGAACTTCGGCACCTCCTGGAGAAAGTTGCCCAAGAGTTCAAGTCGCTCCATACCTCCCTCAATAACGACGTCTAACTTGGAACCTTCCTGCTCTGGCCCCTCGTCTTCGTTGCCTTTGCTCTTTTGGTTTAAGCTGTCCGGTTTCGCAACGCGTGCTATGTAAGGGTTGCATATGTAAATCCACGGAATTTCGCTCGTTTGGGCTGTTGTGGCTGGAGGAAGACGTGCAAGAAAATCGTCCACCGATTCTGTAAGCTGCCATGCATATGAAACTCCGGCGTAGGGGTTGTGCAAGTCAGATGCGGTGGGAGTCGGGAGGATGCGCGGCTGCGCCCACCCTGGCTGTTCGTGATGCTGCATCATCCATTCGTCAGGATCAAAAGAGTCAACTCGTTGATTGAGGTATTCAATTGCATTTATATCCCCTGTTAAGAGTATTTAGGTATCGTTGTGCGAGTTTGGGTCGAATGGCTTACCATAGAATGACGAATCATCAGACACCGCGCGTTTGTGCGTCATATCAGGTGCCGTCTGGTAGAGGCTGTTGAGCAAATAGCAATATCACTCACAAAATTGGGTGAGGAGTAGTTGCAACCAAGGTCAAAAGCAAGTTTACATGAGGGTGGGAGATGCATATGGGGGATGACAGTCAGGGTTGAAAAAGGTAGCGGGGAAACCTCAGCAGCCCTGGAATAGATTATGCGTCGTGTTTGCAGGAGGGTTCAGTCTACACCTCGACGTGCCAGCTGAGCAACATGCCAACAAAAGCCTTTTCGAACTACTTCACATTTCACTACAAGCATCCTGTCACTCTTTCGCTCTACGATCTCATCGCCCATTTCAACGCCACTATCCACTAACTTAAGATCAATGTAGCGCTTGACAGTGAGGGCCCACAACCACCACTGTCTAAATTTACGCAAGTCATACAGACGCATTTTGCCCATATCAAACGACTGCGAGAATTCGATCCATTGCCATTTTACCTGTTATGGACACCGCCCCTGTGTTGAGACCCATACAGTCCCTCACACTGGACTTGCCTCCGAGTTGCCTGCAATTCTGCCGCAGGTACCCCTGCTACTTTGTTGTTGGCACCTACAACTTACAGTGCGAGGAGGAGATAGCTGAGGCCGAACAGAGCGCCAAAAAGATATCGCAGAATCGTAATGGTAGCCTGCTGGTATTCAACATCGGTGAAAAATTATATCCCAAATTGTCAGTTAAATAACATCTCCCCTTGACACGAAAAATGGTTAATTAACTTGTGGTAAAGATCTTTGATTCAGACAGTTTCGCAGCCATCTGCTTTGCTAGACGTTCGGTTCAATAATGAAGTCAAGCAGAATGATGATGTTCTTGCCGTCGTCTCCAGCACAGGGACGCTCGCCATTTTCAGGTTGGACGCCAGCGACAAGTCTCAGCCATTGAAGCATCTAGCCACCAGCAGATGTGAGGACATTGGGGAAGATGTTCTCTATCTCCAGTGTAAATGGCATCCAGTATTATCGAACGTGGTGGCCGTGACCACGTCCACAGGCAGCGCTCGCTTGCTGTACTTGGATGAGCAGTGGCAAATCTCGCAATACGCCGACATAAATATTGCAAACAGTCTCGAGGCGTGGTCTATTGCACTTTCTCCTTCATCACTGTCCTCAGCAACCCAGCCTTTTGAGACAACAGTGTACTGCGGTGGAGATGACTCCATCCTCCGCTATACGTCTTGTAGCTGGCCTGCCGGGGAGTCGTCCGCGCTGCCGGAGGAGCTTTATTCTCCTATGATTATTAAAGGGATTCATGCCGCTGGGGTAACTTCCATCTTGCCATTGGATCTAAGAACCGATGAAGGTGGAAGAGTGGTCATCACTGGAAGCTACGATGACCATTTGCGTGTGTTTCACATTCACGATTTACATGAAGCTCATGGCGCTCGTCGAGTTGAGCAAGCTTTGGAAGAAAATCTCGATGGTGGTGTTTGGAGACTGGAACTCATCAGTCAAAGGAAAGAAAAGGATGCAGTACATATATTGCTTCTTGCATCATGCATGCATGGCGGTGCCCGAGTAGTCGACTTGAGCATGGAAGAGGGAGGTTCATGGTCGCTGCGGGTCGTCGCCAGATTTGAGGAGCACAAGAGCATGAACTATGCCAGCGATGTTGTATTGAGTGAGACGATGAACCTCGTCTGCGTATCAAGCAGCTTTTACGACAAGCTTCTCTGCATATGGGAATGCAGTCTTTAATAAGGATGCCGTCTACGAGGTAGTAGGCAGTAGTTACAATGAGTATAAAAAGCCCGGCAATTATGAGGATGAGGTTTCCCCTCAAATCATGCATACACACGTGATATATTTTTGTCGGGTATTGTTGTGTATTTATCCGTGTTTCGTTCGTCGTAACTTGGAAGGGCGGAGTTAGGTCGTCGCAGCAGCCGTCTGCAAAGTCTCGAACATAGCAAATAATAAAACAACCGACAGCCAGGCATAATTTAGATTCAAGTTGTTTGACAGCGCGCTAATTCAGATTCTCCCAGGCTGCATGCCTTGGGACCTGCATTACCGCGGCTGTGCGTCTTGTGTGCATCGTGTCACGCCGGAGTTGTAGCTGTCTTGACAGACAACACGCGCGCGCACCCCAGCGGGGCTCTCCACCACGTCAGTTGTCAGTTGAGCCTAGCGTTCCAGGCTTCTCCCAGCCCAGTCTCTGTCAGCTTCTTTGAAAGTTGCAGTCCAGTCTTCAAAGCGAGGCATCTTCCGAGTTCTCTCGCCGAAGCGATTTCTTTCAACGTGCATCTGTATTGCAAACAGATTCCCCGACGACCACCCGAATCTCAACATTCGAAGCGTCTGTGCCCCCTCACACCACAGAAAGAAACTCCGCATTACTGTCTTTTTCCCACCCTCGCTTTCGTCCTCCATGTCACCACGATAACACACCGCTTCACGAGTCACAATCGACGCCTTCCCTTCGCCCCCGACTACGCCGCTACAAAACCTCAGGAGCACGAATTTACCGCGTCTCACGTCCATAGCCCGTCCCCGCGAACAGAACAAACCATGGCTGCCAACGGCGCCGGCGGCGCGCTGGGTGGCAGTGGCGGGGCTACAGAGGCCATGGCCAAGATCCGAGAAGCACTCGACGTCGTCCACAGCCCATTTTCGAACAACAACGCCAGACGCGATGCGCAAAACTTTCTCGAAGAAATCAAGAGCCACGACGAAGCACCGATGCAAGGCTACAATCTCGCGAGCGACAGGGCACAGCCGCCTGTTGTACGGCACTACGCCCTGTCGCTCCTGGAGCACGCGATCCGGTACAAGTGGTCCGGCTATACCGAGGAACAGGCGTTGACGCTGAGAAACTGGGTGCTGGAGCTCGCACAGGCTGTCTCGCGTGTGGACCCCCCTTATCTTCGAAATAAGACGGCCCAGCTCTGGGTCGAGGTGGCGAAGCGCTGCTGGGGAGGTGAGTGGCTCGACATGGATGCGATGCTCGTGCAGCTTTGGGAAGTGCCCGACTCCGCCGTGCACAAGGAGCTTGTCATGTTCGTCCTCGAGACCCTGTCCGACGAGGTGTTTGCCGGAGACGACTCGGTGGTCGCAATGCGGGAAGGTGTTCTTAGCAAGGCATGCGTCGAAGTATTTACGCCCACCGCCGTGCTGGTGGAAGCGTTCCCGAACAGGCACCCCGGGCCCGATGTGAGGTCCGGTCATGATGGATGGCTCAGTAGGTTGTCTGTTCTCCTCGGCAGCTGCCTCGCGGCTTCGCCGGCAGACAATGACGAGGTCAAATCATGTACAATCAAGGGCCTGTCTCTGATGCTCTCGCTGATGCCATGGGCAATCCCGAAAGCCATCGCCTCAGCCGGATGCGTTAATTACATGTGTCAGGGTCTTTCTTCCACCGTCCCCGAGATCCAAAAGGCGTCCCTTGATGCTCTCCACGCGCTCTACTGCCGAACAAACTTTACGGACGAAGAGTTCGTTGATCTCGTCGCGCCGATGTATAACCAAAATTCGGTCGAACTGTGCAAGAATTTATACCAGTGGGCGGTTGTCGACCCCAACGACATCGACGACGACAAATATCAGATTCTCAAGAAATTGTCAGAAATGCTGTCCAGCCTAGGCGACTATTTCGACCGCAAGTTCAGCCGCATGCCAGGTGATGTTGCCAAGGACAGTTTCCTGCAGCTTCTGCTCCAAGTGGTCCAGAACCCCAGTCTCATGGTCTCCATTCCGGTCCTGGTGTCTTGGACGCGTCTTCTGAATCGGAAAGATATTGGGAACAGCGATGCCATGTCTCCTCTAATTGGCCCCTTGCTGGAAGTTTGCAGCTCGAGGATGGTTCGCTACGAAAACCTCCCCGAAGATAATGAAGACGCGACTTTTCTCTTTCTTCAAGAAGATACCGACACATTGCCCGAACGACATGCGTTTTTGGGCAACTATCGCAGATATAGCTCTCAAGTAATTGAAGCAATTGTCCAATTAAAGCTCGTGGACGCCGTGTCCCACATTCTGGGACGAACTGAGCATGTTCTCGAGCATCTATACGACGGACAGCCTGCCTTCAACAAACAATCTTACTCAAAACACTCCATGCCCGCCCTCATCGTTGACTCACACTTTACAGTCATTGAGGCCACACTCAAGGGCTACATGAAGTGGCGAAGACACCATCAACAAAACTCTGTATGTATATCCTCATATTTTATCCGCTCAGACACTAATTGCACAGAATGTGTCCGAAATGAGCGAATTGGAAACTAATCTAGAGTCGTGGTGCAACAAACTGCTCGGGATGAGCTTCGAGGATCCCATTATCAGAAAACGCACTCTACAGCTGCTAGTCGTTTTTTCCACCACCGCGCTGAATAAGAACGCCGGTTTTATGCTCAAAGTTCTCGAGCATATCTTGATGACTTGGCCAACACTTGAGCCTGAGTATCGTGCATTCAACGATGCTATCAAAGACCTGCAAAGCGAGAGCATGGTTGAACTACAAAGACTTGCTTCCGAAATGCCAGATCATTTGCTGGTATGTTGTAAATACATATGTTGTGATGTCCCTGCTAACCCACTTGCGTAGGGAGTCTTTGATCAAATTGAGACCCGAGTCAATGAGATGCTTTCTTCTGGCACTCTTGACGACAAGCGATCTCTTGCGTACCGAAGCTTTCTATTCCTCATCATGTATGTATGGTTGATCACCCCCGCTAGTACCGGCACTAACAAGACTCAGTCATCGGGCACAGAGAGTCGACCTCCAGGCCAAGATTCATAAGCTGAGTGAGTTCATTGGGCCTGTATTGGCGCAGTGGCAGACTGAGAGCCTCAAAAATGCCGTCACATCTTATCATGGGTTTTGTGAGCAGCTCGCTCTCAACAAGGCACAGGATTACCTAGCTCGCAAACGGGCCGATAAAATTCAGGACTGGGGCTCCCAAGGGCTTGATGCTGAGGGACTAGCCCTACAGAACGAAATGGAAGAGCGTATCAAGGTACGTTCAAGATACTTGTCTTGGATTTTCATCCTTACTTAGGCGGAACGCAGGTACTACCACTACGAGCAACTAAATCGTTCCTTGCCTTCTCAGTCGAGCGGCTAGACAAGTCTTCCTCCGCCTTTCAAGCGTCATACGCTTTATGGCAGGATGGTTTTTCCAGCCTTTTGGCTGATCTCCTACAGTTACTCAGGTACATGACCCTCCCTTCCAAACTCCTGACCCAATACTCATTGTGTACAGCTTTGCACATGCCACGCATAATCCGGAAAACTGGACCGGTCTACCGAACGGTTCTCGCTCCATGGTCGCTCGCGTTCTTAGCGACAGATTCTGGCAGGCCGGAATCTCAGACGGTAGTAAAGACGATTTTTACGCAAGAGTGATAGATAAAAAGAATACCATGGAGGGCTTGGCGTCAACAATCCGCGGATCCGTCAGATTTGTCAGAGAGACGGCTTATGCCATCATATACTGCATGAGTCGCTTGGAATTGCAATTTTATGGCTTTGAAGGACTGCCCGGGCCATTGGCAAATGCACTCTTTGCCGATTCTACATGGCTGTCGACTCATCAACAAAACAACTTGCTGAATTTGGTTCGATATCTGGTTGACGACTGTCCCGTGGATTACCGGGAGCGTTTTTTGCCGCCTTTGCTATCCGTGTGTTTTAGACAGATGGACGCCAAAGTCAATGGCGAATGGGAGAAGATGGACGCGCAGCAGAGTGTTGCGGCTGACGGTGAGGATGGGCTGAAGGAGGAAATGAAGGCAGAGAGCATTCTCCGCCAGGTAACTTATACTGGTGTTGTAATGATGGCAGACTTTTTGGATCCCACAAAGCAAAGTAAGTTGACTCGCTGCGCTTGCGTCCGAGGGCATAACTAACAAGCCAACTAGATCCCCCAACACTACAGGCCCGAGCACAGAAGGTCAACGGCGTAGAGATAGCCCCTCCGACAGAGCACTTTCCCTCTCTGCGCCGATTCTGCTTGCTACATCAAGAAATTGTGGAGCCGCTCCTGGTATTCTGTGCTCACGGGATACGTATGAGGGATACCAGATGCTGCGGCATGGTGCTCCGGCTGCTGATCTCTCTCGTACCCGAATTTCAACCAAACACTACAGCTAGCAAGCCCCAACCGGACGGCTCATTGGCGCCGGCGGACCCTTCATCCATTCCCGCCGAGATTGCGTCTGCGATCCGAGAGTATCTATCAAGCGATGTGCTGCGGGCTTGCTTGACGTCGTTCCACGAGCCCTACTTCGTCGAGGTGCAAAAGGAGCTCGCATCGCTCATCGCCGCGGTGTATGTGCACTACAGCCCGGTGACGATGACGCCGCATAATCTGCTGACGTCGCTGCCCAACGTCGAGGCGGGCGAGCTGGAGCTGCTCAAGCCGTACATGGTCAAACCCGGGGCGCACAGCCGGCAGCAGCGCGCCGTCGTTCTGGAGCTGCTCCGGGACCTCAAGGGCGTCAGCGTGTCCGAGATGGGGAAGCTGGCCAAGAGCGCGGGCCTGCCGAGCACGGCAGCGAGCGGCCGCGTCAAGAGGGCTGGGGGCCGGAGTAAAATGGCGCAAAGCTTCATGACGGAGCCGGTGGCGCAGAACAACGGGACGACGAGGATGGAGCAGGTGGCCGGGGGCAGGCGGGCGACGCCAGACGACGCACTGGACGGCGTGTCCAACCTGTTTGATGCCTAGAAGACGTTTTCCTAGTTGCACACGAGAAGAGCCCGCATATTCACACAGACCTTGGCCGGGACTACAATAATATACCCTTATAGGAGCTGCCTATCCATTTTTTAATTCAACTCCCGAGTTTTGCTGCCACGTGCATTTACAAGTTCTTCTTTTAGAGAAACTGTGTGTGAGGAAAGGAGGCAAAACTCATCTTAGGTAGCTAAACGCGTCAAGAAGACGGGTTGACCCCATTCATCTGATCCCTCCCATTTGTGTACTTCAGAAGTAGCTAGCGGTAGCAAGCAGACAACAAGATGTGAGTGTGTACAGTCTCGATATTCAAAGGGTGGTGAAGGCGTTGTGTGGCTCTGGTTGATTCCCTGGCGGGCTACCTTAGGGCTTGTGTAGTACGATCAAAGGACGCGTGCACATTAGCTCAGCAAACATTACACAGATCAGAGACATGTGAGACATGTGATGTACGTTGTAGCTGAAAGGATTCATCTCATTTTGCGAGGGACCTTGTCTAAGACCTTGTCCCCCGAGCCTTGGGGGCGTAGGAGAACTGCGAAGATATGCATGGCGTCCTGTGTTGTTGAACTTCCTTGCTATTTTCGTGTTTACGGTCTACAGGCTTCCGGGAGACTTGGCATGTTGTTCGAGAAGTGAATGAAATGGGCCGCCTACGCCAAGAACTTCGTAGAGGGGGTATCTCACCTAAGGGTACCTCAGTAAGTTCGGCTGAGGGTGGCAACCCTTATATAGAGCATCAATATAGTTACATAAGATAGCAGCGTAACTAATACAGCTTATAAAGGAATAATAAAAAATAAAAATAATAAAGAAAATCAGCCTTATATTAAATAAAGCTATAAAGGATAACTAGTTAATTTATATATCCTATTTCCTAGCCTTAAGCTATATAATTTAAGTTATAAGATAATACTATATCTTAAAATACCTAAGGTTATTACTTATATATACTTATTATTAATATAAATAAGATAAGCTTTTTTATTAAGGTAATACTCTATATAATATACCTTTTAATTATTAAATATAAGTTAATATAAAATAAAAGAAATAATTATATATAAAAAGTATAATAAAAAGTAACTATTTATATAAAAAGGTATTTTATAAAGGAAATAAGATAATATATTTATATTTTTCTTTATTTTCTATAAAGAATATATTAATATACTATTTAAGTATATATTTTATAGTATAAATAATAATTTAATATAGAAATAGATAAATAATAAAACTACTACTTTTTTTAATAAGTAATTTAAAGTATTTTTTATTTTAATTAATAAGTAGATTAGTATTTTTAAATATAAAAAGCTATTCTTTATTATATATTATTCTTATATTCTTTATTATTTATTTACTTCTTTTTAACTACTTACTTTTTTACTTATTAAAAATAATAATAGTTTTTTATTATCCTTTTATTCTTTTTCTTTTATTATTATTAGTTATATTAAATTTTAAATAATAGTTTCTTTATATACTAATTTTATAACTATTAACTCCCTCTTCCTTACTATTATTAAGGCTTTTACCTTTATTATTATTAATAAAAAGTTCTTTAAAGAAGTAATTATATTCCTAGATATTTAAGAAAAGTCCTTTAAGAAAATAAATATTAAAAAACCCTTTTTAAAAGCCCTTATACTCCTTACTAAGTAAGAAAAGCCCTTTATAAAGGTATATAAGTTATATATTAACTTATATAAAAAAATATAAACTTATAATAATATTATATATCCCTTTTAATATAACTATTACTAGATTAATATAGTTATAACTATTCTAGCTAATAAGCTAAAGCCTTAGACCCTTATAAACCTAGTCTTACTATTAGTAGTATATATACCTACCTTTATTAAAGAGGTTAATAATAAAGATATTAATAATAATAATAATAATAATAATAAAGGTATTAATATAGTTAAGTTAGTTAAAGAAAAGGTTAAAGTTAAGAATAAAGATAAAGAGAATAAGAATAAAAAGAAGGAGGAAGAAGAGAAAAAGAAAGAAAAGAAAATACTTATTATACTATATTATCCTTACTATAATACTTCTACTACTCCTATTAAGATAACTCCTATAAATTATATAATTTAGTTATAGTTAATACCTTTATTAGTATATACTATAAGTACTTACTTTTTTATTTAAGTTAACTAAAACTAACTAATACTCTCTTAGCCTTAAACCTTAATAAAGTAGCTAGTAAAGGCTAATCCTAAGCTTTACTAAATAAACCTTTATTTAAGATATACTTAATTTATACTTTTTAATAAAAAAGATAATATATATTATAACTTTATATTAATTAAGAAGATAATATACTTATAAAAGTATAAAGGTTATACTTATTATAACTATAAGTATAAACTATACTTAGCTATAATAATCCCCTTTACTTAATATTTAATAATAGTATATAAAGATAGCCTTAAGTCTATAAGTTATTTATTATTTACTTTTAATACCCTTTAATAATACTTATTAATACTTTACTCTCTTTTTTAAAATAAGGTCTTATATTATATAATATTATATACTATTTTTAAAATATTAAAAGAAGAGAATAGTATATTTAATACTATTACTACTAATATAGTATTAGGTAAGGAAGCTTTCTTTAAGTAAAAGACCTAGGCTTTATATTACCTTAAGGTATTTATTAATAAAATTATATAATAAAGTTATTAAAAATTAATATATATATTATAATAATTAAATAGAATATTACTTATTCCTAGGTTCTTTAGAGGGTTAGAGATTAAATAATACCTTTTTACCTATATTATACTTTATATTCTATATTAAAATAATTATATTACTCTTTTTAACTATATTTAAAAGCTTTTTCAGATTAATAAGATATTTAAACTCTAAAAAGGCTTAATAAAGAAAAGCTTTAATAAGACTATCTATAGGTATTACTTTACTTAGAATAAAGGTAAGTATAAAATACCTATATTTATATTCTTACTTTAACTATATATTATTAATATTAATATATTTTAATTTAGTTAATATATACTCTTTATTACTAATAATAATATATATTATCTAGGTATTATTATATATTATCTTATATAGAAAAGCTACCTATTTTCCTATTATTATAAAAAGATAATATATTATAAAAGCCTTTTTTACTAAGCTAAATATACCTAATAATTTAGCCTTTATTATAAATAGTATAATAGTATTTTATTTTATAGCTTTCTAAAATATAGAACTACTATATAGAAAGATTATTTAACCTTAAGATAACTTCCTAGTAACAGGGTTATTTGTTAAGACCAATAGGGCATATATAGGGTAAGAGGTAAAGTTATTATATTATATAACTTCTATCTAGTTATATAGTATAGGTAAGTACTAGATATACTAGGTAATAGGAGATTATTCTTCTAGCTTTAAAGCTGCCTATTATTACTCCTACTTAATCTATATTAACTAGGAAAAATAACTAGAAAAATAACTATAAGGAATAAAATAATAACTATAAGGAAAAATAGTAACTACTATAGCTACTATAATATACTATAATAGTAGCCTAATTCTCTTACTTACTAATAGGTATAATAGTACCTATTAGTATACCTAAGTTACCTTTTTCTTCTAGATATAGGGTAGCTTATAGTTATACTAGGTATAAGGTAGCTTATAGTTATATTAGGTATAGGGTAGCTTACTACTATATAGAGGGCTTTACTAATAATAGGTAGCTCTAAAGCTAAAAGAAT